CACCCCCAGCTCCCACTCCACTCCCTAACAGCCCCGGCCATACCCCAGTGGGGTTGGATTCACAATTCCCTCATCTTTTTGCCCCGTGTTTTGCAGGAGCAAAGCCTGCGACACCTGGCAAACTCGTGCCCTGTAACCATCCCTCTCCTGGGGGGTTGGGAACCACAAAAAAAAAGCACCTTTGCCCCCCACCCATCCCCTCAGGGAGATAAATATTACCACCACACACAAGGCGTGACCGTCAGCCTCACCCAAGGGCAGGGAACAACGTGTCCCTGTCCCGCTTGCACCCCAAAACCACCCGTTTTCACCCCTTTTTTGTTTTTTTTTTCTCCTCCCAGCTGGCGGCGGATGGCACCGTCATGAACACCTTCACCCACAAATGCCAGCTGCCCGAAGCCGGGGAGACGTGGACCCCACGTCGGTGTCGTCCTCGCTGGGGGACGATGGCACGTTGACCATCCGGGCTCAGCGCCAGCCCCCCAAGCACGCCGAGCACGTCCAGCAAACCTTCCGGACTAGACGTGGACCCCACGTCGGTGTCGTCCTCGCTGGGGGACGATGGCACGTTGACCATCCGGGCTCAGCGCCAGCCCCCCAAGCACGCCGAGCACGTCCAGCAAACCTTCCGGACTGAGATCGGATTGGGGTGGGGTGGGTGTCCCTTTCCCCCTTCTCTCTCCTTAATTGTTTGGGTCATTTGGGAAGGAGGTGGGATGTGGGGTAGGGGATGGGAAAGCTCCCCCGTGGCGTCAGACCGGTGCCGAGGGGCCGGCACGGTGAGATGCATCCCATCACCTATCGGAGAAATTCCGGAGGGGAGTCTCGGCTCTGGCAAGGGTTGATGGGGAAGATCCAGCGTGCCAAGAGCCCTGCCGGGAGCAAGGAGTGAGGTTCCCTTCCCCGACCCTCCACCGGAGCTTGTCTCTGTATATACAGCTTGTGATAAATTATTGAGAACGCCTGACTGCTGCCTCTTCCGTTTTTTAAGGTTTTCTTCATGCTTTTTTCCCAAAAAGGGCTGAGGGTCTCTCGGTAGGGAGTACCGCAAGCGATTCCTCCTTCCTGACAAAAAACAGGGACAAGGAGCCGCCCCGGTTCCCCTCCGGCGCCCGCGGCCCCGTTTATTTCCAGCCCGGGGTGACTCATTTCTTCCCCGCCGCTCTATTCCTGAGCCATTCCCTCAGCTGTTCGGCCGCTGGCCCACCTGGAAGGTCACCAAATCCTCCTCCTCCTCCCCTCGCCCACCTGCACGCACCGCCATCGGGGAAACCCCGAGCAGCGGCATGAGCCGGGCCGACGGTCCCCGGCTACCAGGCAAACCCTCA